TCTGGGTTAATAAAAGAAATACATCCACACCACATTCATACCACACCCACACTCACACCTATCTACCATTTAAAAACTCCATATCAATGAAGCTAGAATTCAAGGCATAGTACAATGGGGATAGTTCAAAATCCTGTGATACATAACTCTACTAAAGAAGTAGTTTATAATACTATGTACAATGGCATTATGAGTGCTTCAAGCACTAATTTTCTCTGGATTTCCTCGATTATTACTATGTAATTTTTTTCTTGAGATTCTACATAATAAATGATTTGAGAATGTCGAAAAAATAATACCACGTCTAATACACAATCATCATCATTGATTCATTCAGTTCCATCATTGTCATCCATGTTGTCTTAGTCGAATATAAAAGTTTCTGTTGAAAATCATAATGAAATAAATGTAAAAAATTCCACAAAACAATTGCAAACATCATCATCAGACCCGTTTCAATCAATAGCATCGATTTGAAAATCATCCGATGAAGAAAATAATAAAAAAATTCTCGTATTTCAAAAGGTTAGTCAATATGAATAGAAAATTGATTCTTACCAGTTTTCTATTCTGTTTTATTTAGTTATTTACTCGCTTAAATGGTTTATTATCGTTAGTCTAAAAGCAAAATTTATCATCCTTTTCAAAAATTATTGAATCAACAATCTCCACAATAAAAACTCTACAATCAAATATGAATTTAGTCAATGATAGATCAATATTTGATGCAAACAACCAGATTACACTACTCAGAGTTCAATTGAATAAAAATTAGAATGAAATATTTTCAAAACTGTGCAACAATAATAATAGTGGACAAGTTAAAAAATCATATAAAGCCATGATAAGAGCCTTTCGAAATTTAATGCGATCACCTCATCAACATCAATTGCAAGCTGATAAATATATTCTAATCAAAGAATCAAAGTGATTGTCAACTACTTCATCTGCAATTGCACAAAGACAATATTAACATCAAAACTCAGGAAAATTCATTGAAACAAAATCAAAACATTGTTTTATTAATAATAATGATCAATGATCAAACGTATCATACCCTTCAATTGAATATCAAACAATTTCTGAAAAATATCTAAACAAAAACTGTTTGAATCCAAATAAAATAAGATACTGTTTGATTTCTGTCTCATGAAAATATTTTGTTGTTATTTTTGTTCCGTTTTTGTTTTAAGAGAAAAAACTAAAGATGAAGACACGAAAGAAATTATTTTTTGAATATTTCGGCGTATTTGTTTATAGACTGTATTCACTTCAAGGATATTCTAGGAATCAGAAGAACTGTCTATAATCAAAACTTCAGATGAAAATCTCGCTTTTTTTCAGTCTATCAATACGCTATCATAAATCTGAAAGACAAAACTGAAAAATCAAATCTTTCAAAAAGCAATTTGCAATGTTATTGTTTGAACAGAAAATTAATTCAATTCTATTTCATAAGCAACAAGTTCATGTCTTTGACAAAGTTTTCATTTATCTTGATTTAAAGAAAGAGAGAATATACAATGAATATTATCTTGAGATGATGATTTCGTATTATTATGATAAAAAAAAGAACAATGTACATAAATTTTTCGTCTGCATAGCTAGAATGCTTTCAACGAAACATATCATTTTCAGCCTTTTATTTATCACAATTATGAGCAATAATCATCATTTCTCAAATAGGAAAGAAAATTATTTTTTTATTGACATTTTTGAATAGCTTGATCTAATGCATTTTTAATCAATTCTAATGAAAATGAACCTTGAATTGGTTGAGCAATATAACTTAATTTATTCATATGATCAATAACATAAAATCGAATCGGCCATGGACTATAAACTTGACTAAATGGATTATTTTCTGATACTGAATCAATTAATAATAGACTAACTCGATATTCCGCTACTTTGATAAAATCATTTGCAATATGAATTCAATCATGATCAGTTTTTGGTTGATTATAACATATTCGACTACCAATTGGCCTATTTTATTTAGTGTTAAGATTACTTTAAGAAAAATATTTTCTTCATTAAGGTACCATTCATCCGCTACATGAGCTTCTTCAATATAAACAGTAATCATATCAACTTGATCTTGATAACAATCCATTAGTTGATTAAGTTGTGGTACAAGACCACGAAATGGTGGTCATGTATATGAACCATCTATAATTAATAATGATCGATTTGAATGATAATAAGATAATAATGATTCAAATTCACCATTTATGTTTAATAATTGAATATCAATTGCTGAATCTCCAATGTGAAGATTCCCTTGTTTTGCGCGATTATGTCGAACATACAGAGATAGATTATGAAATTCGTTATTAGACCTAGGACAGTTCCATATCAGTTCCGCTCTTGAGAACTGTTCAAACAGTTCTTTGATAGGAACTGATCTGTGCTTACCAGTTCTTTGATCGGAACTGATCTGCTCAACCAGTTCTTTGATCGGAACTGATTTGTCCAACCAGTTTTTTGATAGGAACTGATCTGGGTGTGGGTGTTCATAAAGAAGAAACTCAACCTCAGATCCACACACATAGCCCACATCCACATCCATAGCCCACACCCACACCCACACCCCACGCCCACACCCACACCCCACACCCACACCCACCCACACCCACCTACATCCCACACACCCACACACCCACACCCTATTGACTCTCTCCTGCACCATTATCCGCATGCAGCGATGGTTATGATTCATCGGCGTCTCGACGAAGTGCTACTCTCGTTTTGCCATTTGATGGAGTGTATCAAGAACTTGTACTTGGACAAATCGGTCTCGGCAAGCACAAATGTATATGCGAAACGATTTATTCAACTGATCGATAAAATGATAGAATGCATTATGGAGTTTCACACTCGACCGCGACAACTAATCGACCAATCACACAAGAACGTTTGTCATTTGCTCTACGATGACTTGATGGAGAAACCGATCGCTACAGTGCATCGAATCTATAATCACTTCGGTTTGTCTTGGTCGGAAGAATTCGAAGCGAAGATGCAAGCATGGCTTCAAGAGAATCCACAAGAAAAACAAGGTCGTCATACGTACAGTCTGGCCGAGGTGGGTCTCACGCGTGAAGATATCGAGATGCGTTACAATGACTATATAAAACTATTTCTTCCTCCATCGTCTTCACATAGTATTGACAAGGATCAACATTCTTTGAATAATAAAGAAGTTGCAACTGCTTAGTCGATTTTTCTTATTGTTACCGATAACACTGTTAGGACAATATTGCTTTTTTAATGTTAACTTCTTCACTATCGGATTTTCTTGCATACTGTATATGAATGTAGAATAATTGGCCGAGTACCCGCGATTGCATTCTGTTATTACCCATGAATTGCAAGCTCCTCTAATAATGACGTTTAGTTATATAATTGGAACATGGTATTCTCCACGCTTCTCATGCTATACATCAGAATACTGGACGTGGGTGTATTGGCGTGGCGTGTGAGTGTGGAGTATGGGTGCGAGTGATGATGTGGATGTGTGTGTGCACTTTTCTACTCTATGAACTCACACCTGCACCCTGACCGCGTCTAAATAGATGTAAGAGATATTAGAACTGACTCTATATAGAGCTTCTTGCTTTGAAAATGATTCTTCTTTTTTTCAAACCAAATTTTCGTGTTTACACAATTAGCATCAATCAATAGTTCCTGAATCGCTTAATTACGGTCTCGTTTTTATTGCAGATATTATTGATTTATGTAGATAAATGATCATCAAGCTCGATGCTATAAACAGTGTATTTTATATCAGTAGAGAGAATTTTCTACTCTGCCTCAATTGTAATTCTAATGCTTTTCGTCCTGTGAATTCACCGAAATAGTTTTAGCATTTTACAATTTCTAAATCTCTTTGAATGAAACATGAAAGATTATTCTTTCCCACTCAAAAGAATAATGGAGAAATGGCCATTAAAATGCATTATTTTCCGTAACTTGACCATTTCGATCATTAAAATACATCATTTTTTTGCAAAATTGCAAAAATGATCATTGAAATGCATTTCGATTCGTAGATGAATCATTTTGACCATTTTATGATCCTTGAGCCTATTTTCTCAGAGCTTTATGATCATTTAAATCCGTTTATCGTTTCTAAAACTTCTATAATTTACCAGTCTTTTCCTAATCAGCACTCATACTTTACACAACAGTCAAGAATATAATTGGATGTGGGTGGTGTATGGGACTGGGTATGGCCTTCTGTTAGTACCCACTAACACACACCCACACCCATTTATAGATATATAGAGTTACAGTGTTTTGGGTTATTTTTCTTACCTCAAAAATAGGCAAAAAGAAAATCACTGTTATAGCAACCTCGAGCGAAACAGGAAAAATCAATTCGTCACAATACGATTGACTAATCGAGTTTTCAGATTGAGCAATATGTGAAAAACTCAAATCAACTACGTACTATTAAAAGGAAAAACGACTTGGCAATAATATTCGATCGTTTTCTTTATTTCTTGTTGCCAAAATTTTCAAGCGATTAATTGATTCAGGGTTATTAGACAGCATGTTTGCAACTATGACTCATGCTACCCTTCTTTCGCCTATCAATAAACCAATGACACCGCAAGCGCTGCTGCATCATCAATCATACATCACTGAAAAATATTTGGTGTGTGGGGTATGGTGGTGGAGTGTAGTGAATGACTCATTCAACTCCCACACCCACATCCTCATCCCACACTCATACCCACACCCTTCCTCGATTAGAATAGTGAACTCATACCACTATGAAGATCATTACGTGGCCAGGCCACTAGTTGCTTGATGACACTGAGCACACCCTTGACATAAACTTTCTTCATTCAAACAAAATCTATCATATGTAATCGATCAAATACTGTCTCTGAATTCGAATAATATATCGAATGTTATAAAGAACTATATATTTGATTAAATGAAATTTACAAACAAAAAAATTATCGAATAGGAAAAACAAAATGTCACACTCAATCATTCAATCTATCAATAAGTAACTCTGAGAATTCGTCTAATTTGAGCTCAAATATGCCTTCACCACGATAATTACTTGTTCGAACAAACCATTTACCTTCAAATTGGTTATGATCCGAATTCCAAGTTAATTGTAGAGTAACTTGATGTCCAATATTTTCATTTGAATTGCCCGTATCTCGCTCGTATGTCTTGATTAGGTCCATTCGATGAGTTTGTGAAGAAAATACACCATCAATGGTAAATATACCAACGTCATCTATTCCTTGACCACTCACTTTTGACGTCAAATGATCAAATGAAAGTGATAAATGATAAGGTCCATGCCATTTATTATACTGATAGTATCGACAAGACCAGACACCTGCTTCAAAATGATCTTTATCATACATTCGACTCTTTGCCGATGCTTGATTGACAAATGCTGAATTCGATTGAAATGATTTGCGTTTGTATCGATGATAACACAATACAATAACAAAGATAACTGCGATCAGGGCGAAAATGCAACCTACTACGATGACTACAATGATACCTGATCCTTCTCCGCAGTGATACCCTCGGCATCCATGCCTATGATGCGAACCATAGCTATCACCTACAACCAATTGAAGCAAGAGAAAGAATTTTGAAATGAAAACAATTTGTAAATACGATTACCTCTGAAACCACTGTGACTACCGCCACCTCCTCGACTTCCACCATATGAATCTTGACAGTGAATAACACTTCTCAATACAATAAGAATCAGAATGAAACGAAATACGATGTGCATAGTATGTTCTGAAACAAAACGTCGTTTTTGTTGTCTTTCAGCAGTTTGCTAATCGTCAAATACCGATCACAATAAATGCAAACGCTCTGATTATATTGAGAATGAATGAGTAATAAAACAAATATAGGAACAGTATTATTCATTCCTTTTGGCGTATTAAGCACGTATATGAATCTATCGTCGAACATGATCAGAAGACAAACTGAAATCTTACTCTTTTGTCGTCGGATCTGTGACAAAAATGTGCTCGCTTTTTTTCTTCCTTTATAGAAAAATAAATCGCGATAAAATTCACCGTTGATTCTAAAATGATTCATGTAAAAAATTCACGTTTGCTTTTCTTTTTCATTCCTGTACATATTACGCAAATGGTACAAGAGGGTGGTTCCATGGGATATCTACCACCATTACATGAAGATTCTCCAAACAACATGAAACTTTCAGCGGCTTTAGAGCTCGCTAAGCTGATTATTTTGGTATAAAAATACTGGGCTTTATCGGCTGGCATCCGTGATTTTATGTTTTCAGTGAAAATTCACGAAAATCGATTTTTCTTTTTGCCGTTTTTTGCTCTCCATTTGAGGAAAATCAATTTTCAGTAGCATATTTCTAGTCCTTGTGGTAGGATCTATCTCGAGAGTACACACTCAATAAGAAAGAGTGTCAAGATTGGAAAAAATTGACCGAAAAGTATTGACTTTCTGTGAACACTAATTGCAAAAATGCTCAAAATAGGCCACACTGCATAGTGTGGGGTGTGAGTGTGGGTGTGGGGTGTGGGTGTCGGGCGTGAGTGGGGGTGTGGGTATGGGTCTTTTCTTAACGCACTCACATCTACATCCACACCCACACCCACACCCACACCGATACCCCACCGACACCCCACCCACATTCACACCCACACCCACACCCCACACCCACACCCACATCCACACCCCACACCCACACCCACACCCACAAAGATCATAACTAATAGGAAAGTGTATAAAACTGTCACTAAATGACATAGCAGCTTATATCGATGTTTCATGTAATTGTAGCAAAGATTAAAAACTTTTATTAAGACATATATTACATGAGGACTAGTGCATAATTTACCGGAGCAAAATAACTTGTCCTGTGCTCTGCTGCAATTACCGACACCCAAGACAAACACGGTAGAGCAAAAAAATGAGTCTTCGTCCTGTAGGATACGACAGCTCTGGTTCTCTGTCCTGATGACAATTTCTGATTTGTTCTCTTTTTCTCCAATGTTTACCTGTAACATCAGTCAACACGTGGCACTTTTTTTCACAATTTCTTTTGAAATATTTCTCATGAATAGAAACGAAATAAATAAATAAATCATGTAAAAACTAAATGTTTTTTTTTTTAAATAGATTATATAATATCATCGATCATCAAAAAAAACAATGTCAGTTTATTTTGAAATAAAAACTTGATCAAAAATAACGTTGAATTCTATATTTAGAATTGAAATGGTGACAATATTTGAAGATTTATCAAATGAATTAATTTTAAATATATTTGAGTATTTTAATGTCTATCAACTTTATATAACATTTGGACAACTAAATAGTCGTTTCAGTTCATTACTTAATAATGCTCGTCTTCATTTTGATCTTGATCCTATTCCAATGAACGAATATGCATCATTTTCATTATTACTTCAACCTATGAATATTCTATCTTTTACTTCACGTAATTTAGAAAAGACACGTTCGTGGCTTTTTTATAATAATGATGCTCTACAACAATTTTCTAAGATTCGTGCACTTACATTAGTTAATGTTACTTATGGAATAATCAATCGACTACATGAACGTCTTCCTACTCTGAAGAATACACTGATTTACGTCAATATCTCTGGTTGGTATCTTTTTAGAAATATTGTCTTCTAAACAAAAATCCTAGTTGACACATTTTTGAAATCAG